TGCAAGCTACAACCCTGTTTTGCAGAATACTAGAAAACCAATTCTTTCGAAAAGCTGCAATAAATGCGCTGCCCTAAAGAAAACCCAGCCCATCCAGATGTCGATGAAGCTTGCTCCGGTAAACTCGTCTCACATGCACGTTCTTCATGACCGACGCCCTTTTCTTACTCGACAAACCTTACAACTCCACCATATGCTCTAAAACATTGGCATCTCCTGTTACTAATACTAGGAAAATCAATCGGTGTTCTGCCTATGAGCGATCGCAAACGCGCACCGATTCGTATACGCAGAGTTCCATAGAAAAACTTCGCGGTCGGTGAGGGCCGGTTACCCTGCAAAAACCTTTTTTGAAGAGTGTTCGAGAGCGGAGATGGCAGGACATTGTTGATTATGGGCAAACTGTGAATACTGCTACTGTGTACTGTAAGATATGTCACTTCAGCTCCACCAAGAGTTGTGATCTCCCCGGATGAGCCCGAATATCTGGTGTCAGTGGGCGATGAGCAGGTCGTTGTCAGATGCCTGGGCAAAGGCAATCCAACGCCAACAATCAAGTGGACCAGGAAGGTGAGAACTTGTACTGTATTTCCAGGCCTTCGCTGCAACTGGTGTGTTTTATTGTCGTAGTGGTACGTAATGAGTCAGCCGGCTAATCACAGCCAATCTACCACTGGGCCTGGATGATAATCCGGATCCAGAGATTAGGCCAATCACCCTTATTAACGCATAATTGGCACGAACGGTTGGCGCCCTAGGGTGTCCAGTTGCTCCCACGAGGCCTTCGATAATCCAACTTCTCCATAACTACCTTACTAATTTCAGGACGGCAAAATGCCTTCGGACATCACAATTCGAGGACCGCAGCTCGTCATTGCAAAAGCGAAAACAACACATTCCGGGGAGTATGTATGCACGGGAACCAATGCCGCTGGAAGTGACTCCGCATCATTGCGAATACAAGTAAACGGTAGGTTGGATCTACTCAAAGTCTCAGATCTGCAGTTGCAATGTCTACCTCCTGTCAGTTTGGCATGAAAATTCCTTGCTGTATTTCTTGACTGCCATTTGCTGTGCTCTAGAGAGTGAGATTCCTCTGGCAAGACTGAACTTCACATCCGTTACCGTTAAACTCTTAGTGTGATTCTAACAACTGGTTCTGTATAGGTGTAGCTACATCCAATAGAGTAGAAGGTTGCTACTTTTCACTGACATTTTTGGCAGTAGCTGGTAGATATTTTGCGTTGACGTTGCTTTTTCATATGCTAAAAAAGCATAGTATGCTCAAGCAGACGGTAGCTTAGAATTGAAAGCCTTAGAAGAGATAGTGTGTTGTAAGTAAAGTTCGGGGGCTAATCTTAGCTGCTTAAAGCTTATTTTCCTAGAACAGCAAGTACTTTGTCCTCTTTAGAATATTACCAGTGTGTGTTCCCAAAGTAAAGCATGAGAGATTTGAAGTGCAGTCCACATGAAACCTTATTCCAGAACGCGAAGATGCGGCAAAACACGGTGAGTTTCTGCATGGAAGTCTATCGTGCATGTGTTGTGTATTGTGTTGTCCTGACTAACTCTATTTTGCCTAATTTTCTTCATTGATACTGTGTTGGCTACACAACGCCATGCTTCCACTACCGCACAATTCTTTGTTGATACCTCGATGTTGAGGCTTACAGCGAAAATAATAATTAACCATTGTTA